ACAGGCAAGCCAAGGAAGCCACAGAGAGGCTCAGAGAGCCTGGCTCCCAGCTCTAGTCCCAAGAGTCAACAGGGTCCTGCCCAGGCCTGACTCACAAACCACTCCACTGAGGAAGGGCCACTTCAGTGTAAATGGAAAGAAGCATCCCCTGGGATGGGTAATGGGGGGACTTTGGGGAACTTGTGGTGCTGGTGACTCCTGTTCTACCGATGGTCTTCCTAGCCCAGACCCAGCCTCCCCTCAAGGCTGCTGCTGGCAGTGTGCACTCACCTTCCACTCAGGGCCCAATTCCACCATCTGCACCCCGGGGCAGTGGGGCCTTGGCCTCCCATCTTGGGGTGGCCTCACCCCCACCTCAGCAGCTTTGCCATCTTCCACCCCCTCCCAAGGGCACACAGCTAGGAGGCAGAAAGGAAGAGGGTCCCCCTCCCAAAAACAACTCTGAAGACCTCTGCTTCCTCCCCCTACTCTTGAACATATTAAAATGTGCAGCTTGGCTTCAATGCCCCCCTCAGATCTCCATGGCAACCGGGCAACATTCCAAGTCCAAGTCTGAATCCAAGTCCATCTGGTGCCAGAGGGGGGCTTCAGCATCCCCCCAACCCCACTCTTCCCCAGAGGGTGAGACCCAACATTCCACAGGGGGATGAGAGGGGAGGAAGAGTCAGGGCCTTAGTCCTCAGCCCCCTCCTCCTCCGGGTGGGGGATCCCTGGGGGATCCTCGGGCTCAGGGGTCTGGCCTCCAGGATGGGGATGTGGGTGGGGGTGGGGGTGGGAGCCAGGCTGGGTGCCCGGCCCATCCTCGCCCTGCACATAGACACTCAGGCCCTCGTGGCTGGGCTCCTTGCCGCATGACTGGCAGCTGCAGTGCAGAATCTTCTCCACCAGTTTGTCCACCCGGGGTACCTCTTCATGGCCAGGGCACTCCAAGGTCACCTGGGAGCATGAGAAAGAAGGGGAGGGGTGTTTCCAAAGGCCTGGAGAGAGCAAGAAGGCCCTAATGGTAAGAGTACCTCACTGGACCAAGAATCCCAGAGACTCCAGAATCCAAATGCCTACCCAGGAACCTCAGTTAGCTCTCTGTGTCCATTCAGGGGGTGGGAAAGTCAGTGGATTGAGTTCCTGCCAAAGCCACCTGACTTGTCTCCCCCGATCCAGTCCTGTTACCTTCCTATGCACCCCCAACAGCAGCCAGAGGGTCTCCTGGGAGAAAAAACCCAACTGTAGCCTACCAATGCTTCCAACTACATTTAGGAGAAAAATCCTGACTCCTTCCTAAGGCCACCCAGGACTGTCATGCTGCCCATGGCCAACCTCTCCACCCTTGACTTGCACCACTCCCACTAACTCTGGGATCAAGGCTTTGCACATGCTGTTTCTCTGCCTGGAAGATTCCTGCCCAAGCCATCCTCCTACACCAAACTTTGCCTAGTTAACCTCTACTCAAGGAGCTCTGGTGACATAGTGTCTAAGGCACTTGACTGCTAACCAGAGGGCTGGCAATTCAAACCCACCAGCTATGAGTCAGGTTTGACTCGACGGCACATAACAACAACAACAACAAGCCACTCCTCAGAAGGAAGGTTGGGCAATCTACTTCCGTAGTGATACTGCCTTGGAAACCCAAGGAGGGGTCGCTATGAGTCGGGTTCTACTCAACAGCACACAACAACAACAACAACCTCTACTCAACCTTTGGGTCCAAAGTCATATATCACTTCCTCAAAAGAGCCCCATCACAGACCTCCGGCACAGCTGAAGTTTGCTTTGTATGAACTCCTTAGCATCTTACTCTTTCCCTATTTGTTACGCTTCTAATTGTCCTTCCTTCCTTCTCTTCTTTCCCCCGCCCCCATCCCTTTTTTTCCTCCACATGCATTCACAGAGTGCCTAGGCTGTGCCCGCTCTGGGACACAAGGACAAGCATGGTTCCTCTAGGATCTCAGAGTCTAGTGGGGGAAACAGATGCTCATCAAAATCACACAGGTGCAAGTGTGAGCCAAGTGCTCGAGGCAGAGGCACACGGTGCTGTGAGACTATAGTAAGGTGCTGTGAGAACCACGGTAAGGTCATCTGATCCTGTCGGGCAATTCTGGAAAGGAAGCCTGAAAAAATGGCACTTGAGCTAAGAGCTGAGGAATGAACAGACATTAACGAGGTGAAGAGAAGAAAGCTATTCCAAGCAGAGGGAAGAACCCGTGCAAAGGCCCTGTGGAGGGAGCCAGCCGAGTAGAGAGTAGGTACTGAATGGAGGTAAGCTGGTATCAACGCCAAGCCAGTGAGAAGGGTGGGAGGCAAGATGAAGCTGCAAAGATGGTGAGCTGACCACACTGGGCCTGGTGGGGCATGGCAAGGATTTGGGTCTCATCTTTAACAATGGGAGCCACTGAGTGAAAGGATTTCAGCAGAGAACTGACATCAGAACGAAGCTTCGGAAAGATCCCTTGTCCTGCACATGTTGCTGTCAGATTTGTGAGCCATCATGTGGCAAGGATCACATCTGTTATCTCCAGCACAAGCCCAGGACCCTGCATACAGGGCCTTACTAAGTGCCTACAGCCCCTTGCCGTAACACTGGACCCTAAGGAGAAAGGACAGTCAGCGCTGGCTCTGGACACAGGCAGGGTGGGACAGGGCAGGTGGTACTCACAATCTCCCACATGGACTGGGACGGCATACAGGAGTCACAGTGCACCAGGGACTCTGTGGACTGCGGGAAGGTATTGGGGACGCTGTAGCTGAAGCACTGTCCTAGGCATGCCCTGTGGGAGGAGAGGTCACCGTGATTGTGTCACTGCGGGGGGAGGCAGGAATGGACAGCCTTGGTCCTCTTCCTCCCTTCTGGGCCCTTGTCCTCATACCCCCACCCCTACCCTTCGGTCCCACCTGTTCTGGATAGACTTGGCCTCACAGCCACTGTGGCCCACGATCTGGGTGATATTCTTGGCCTCGCACCAGGCACTCTTGTCCGGGAACAGTGCCAGCTTGTTGATAGGCGGTGGGGCAGCCAGCAGCATGGCAGGGAGGACAGCCCCCACCAGGACTCGAAGCATCGTGCCTGTGGCCTCCAGAGCCCTAGAACTGAGCACAGGTGGCAGGTGAAACCCAGCAAGGCCTAGGACGTTGGGTAGTAGGGTGGGAGGGTTACAAGCATGAGCTCTGGCACCTGATTGCCTGGGTTCAAATCCCAGCTCTACAACTTAGTAGTCAAGTATAACCTAGGACAAGTTATTTTTCCCCTCCATACCTTGACAATGGGGCTATTAGTAGCACCCACATTTGATGGGTATCATGAAGATTAAATGAGGTGTTACATGAAAAGCACCCTCCCTCTCTGTTAGCTAGTTGTCACTCTGAGGAGTAAGCTGTGCCTGATCCTCATCATGGTCTTTTCAACTGCCTCATATGAATGAAGAAGCTAGCCAATGAAAAAGATTGAAGGGGAATTGATGCACTTGAACTGTGGTGCTGGTGAAGAACATTGACTATACCGTGGACTGTCAGAAGAATGAACAAATCAATCCTAGAAGAAATTCAACCAGATGCTCCTGAGAAGCTAAGATGGTGAGACTTCAGCTCGCTTACTTTGAATATATCATCAGGAAAGACTGATTGCTAGCAAAGGACATCATGTTTGGGAAAGCAGAGGGTCAGCAAAAATGCAGGAAACCCTCAATGAGGTGGACTGACACTGTAGCCAAAGCCATAGACTCAAACACGGGATCATGAAGATGGCGCAGGACCAGGCAACACTTCATTTTGTTATCCACAAGGTCGTATGAGTCAGAGCTGTCGCAACAGCAACTAAGAACAACAAAATAGAACTTGGAACAAGTTGCTTTTCCTCTTTGCACCTCACCCTTTGTCTAAAAGACAAAGGTGGTTAACAGCACATATAGCAGAGGCTGCTGCAGTTATTAAATAAGACATTAAGTTTTCAAGCAATGTGTACCCTCGATGGCTGACTCTAGCATGTCGAGGGCACGGCACTTCAGTTGTCATCTTCCCATCTTCACGTTGCAGTGAATATTGTGCATCCTTGGCTGGCTGAGCCTCCAAATGGCATTTTTTTTCCTAGGATGACTCACCAGAGCCTTGAGCCCAATTGGGCTCTACACATCTACATCATTATCTTCCCATCAGTCCCAACCTGAGCCAAGCTGGAGCCTATCTTGGAGCCAAGCACTGCCTATTGGTAAATTCTCTGCTGCAGAATGATGGAGCAAGACCCTAAGAAAATACCAGAGTGGGCCAGGAGATGGCGCTGCAGGGCAGCATCATAGCTGAAAGAGTCTGCTCAGAGGAGAGCAAGTCTCCCAAAGTTCCCCAAATTCATCTTTCTTAAGTTTCTCTCATTGCCCCATCCTCAAAAACTTAGGTATGGTGGGGCTTCAGAGATTCGGAAATGAGCCTTTCATTGCCAGCAAGGAATCTCAACCCTCTGCAGATAGGACACTGGGGAAGCCCTGGACTAGGAGCCAGGAGTCTGCCACCTCCTGACTCCTACTGTTGATGTGCTGTGACCCTAGACACTCAGGCCTCAGTTTCCCCACCTACAACATGAGTGGGCTGCTCTAGACCAGTAGATTCCAAACCAGGTTCCAGATCATCAGAATTACCTGAGGACTATGGAGTGAAAGTTCTAGAATGGGCTGGGATTCATTTGTAACAAGCTTCCCAGGTAGTCCTATTGCTCAGCCAGGCTTGGGACCCACTGGATGAGAAAATCCTGAGGGACCGTTCCAGCTCAGACAGGCTGGGATTCTGTGTCTTGGGAGAGTCTCCAGAAGGGGCTCTCACTGCCATCAAGTTGATCCCAACTCATAGCAAGCCCTCCTTGGGTTTCTGAGGCAGTACCACTACGGAAGTAGATGGCCCGACCTGCCTTCTGAGGAGTGGCTGGTGGATTTGAACCGCCGGCCTTCTGGTTAGCAGTCAAGTGCCTTAGGCACTACGCCACCAGAGCTGCCCCAGAAGGGCCTAAGTGAGGCTGAATCTGGAGGATGGTATTGGGGTCCTCCAGAAGCCCAGCACAGAGTGGGGATGGCAGAAGCAGGCACCTGGTAAAGTGCAGGGTGGGGGGAAGGTCCTGCCTGCTCCTGCAGTGGAAACCTCACTGGAGCAGCGAGCTGACTCAGCTCAGCTCCCAGGAAGGGGGCAGCCAGACTGCAGGGCTGAGACCTACATGGGTTCTCTCCATCCAGCAAGCCCCCCTCAGCTCCATGCCCCTTCTCACTGAAGGAGGTCTCCAGAAGCCCAGATGCCCATCTCACTGGATTCCAATGCTTAGATGACTCCTGCTCTCAGCCCAGTAAGGAGTGTAGGAAGGCGAGAGCAGTTGGAGGTGGTCAGACAGTCCGCCCCATCCCAAACGAGCTTACAGCATGGTCCAGGCTCACCCACACATTTCCGGTCTTGCTCACAAGATCAACGTAAAGCCCATATTTTCCACGGAACCACATTCTAACAAAGTAGAATGGGTTTGTTCTTTTTTTAGTTTTTGTAGTTGTAAAATATATATATATATATATATATATATATATATATATATACACATAAAGGGAGAAAACAACATTTGCCAATTTAATGTTTTTCACATGTACAGCTCAATGATGTCAATTACATTAATCCTGTTGTGCAACCATCACCAATATCCATTGCTAAATTTTCTAGAACAGGCTTGTTTTTAACTGCCAGCCTAACCAATGTGTCAAAAAATTTAGCATCCAGGAGCCTTCCTCACCCTACCACCTTCTTGTCAAGGTCCGACCCCTGCACATCAGAAAAGGGCAAGAGACTGACTTAAGGCCAGAGCTCACCAAGGCCCTCCCTAGAGTGGACTGACCCCCTGTAAACCTCAGAGAGTTCTGGGAATGTTGGTCCTGCACCTGAGCCTGCCATCCTGCCTTGGGAGGAACACATCAGGCTGGGCCAGAGGAGAAACTAGGGTGGGAAGTGACATTAAGGTTTACAAAGGATTAGGAATGAAGACTGGGATGGCAATAAGAATAAACAAGACGAGCCTTTGTGTCTGGCATGGAGTTGGAATTAGGGCCAGAGGAGAGGCTAGAACTAAGGCTACCAATTAGGATGAGGTTGAAGTTGAACTGAGACTGGGGTTTGAGATGCTAACAAGGCTTATCAGGAAATGAGATAATAGACTTTTTAAGAATTGCAGGCCTAGGGTTGGTAGCTGGTTATTAGGGGCAGGTCACAGCCAGAATTGAGAAGAAATGGGGTAAACTGAGGCAGAAGGCCACCTCTCTTATCTTCCTCTCTAGTAAATATATGGCTAAATTAAGTGTTATGGGCCACAGAGGGAGCACTGGAACCCAATCCATCAGTTCAGGTCTCTCCCCAAACCCAGGGTACTGGCCAAGGCCTCAGAGGAGGAGGGGCTAGGGCCACCAACTGACTCTGCCAGGCCAGCAGCCTAAGCTCCAGCACACAGGCAGGCTCCTGCCAGAAGCTCCCTAGATTTGAACGCCAGCCCTCCCATCTCAGAGCTATGTAACTTCCGGAAAGTAAGTTCACCTCTCAGAATTCCTTCCTTAACTCAAATGGGGAGTGCAGCACCTTCTTCCTTGGACCGTGACTACAATGATTAAACTAAGGCACCCAGCACCCAGTAGGCACCCAAATGAGGCCAGGTCTCTTCCCCGTGGGGGGCTTGAGGAACTTCCCAGACCGGGAAGCTGGAGGTCCTGGGATAGGCTGAGCAGGCAGCCCAGCCAAGGCTGGGCGCTGGGGCAGGCAGCAGGAAGGGTGCCAGGCACAGTCTCTCCCACACACATTTTCGTTCAGGACACACCCACCCTCCTCCTCACCCTCACCCCAGCCCCACAGAACCCCTACACTGTTCTCTCTCACACCAGGGTGGGCTCTTTGCTAGCTGGGTAATTTTTTATTGGTTTATGCTACTTTTATTTTTTTAAGCAGTAACTCAGCTACTTTTTAAGTAGCAGTTGGACCTTCCTTCCTGAGACTTGAGAGCCTCACCCTCAGATTCTCATTCCTTCCTCCCCACCCTGAAGGTCACACAGCAAGTCATGGGACTCCATGGATGCCAGGGTAGGAGAGGGAATCAGAGACTCCTGAGCCAACTCTTTGCTTGGCAGTGGGATGTCCCACAGCCTCACAGCAAGTCCAGGCAAAGCAATGCCCTTCCCCGAGGCCATGCAGTTCCCTGTAGTTTGGCCCAGGTTTACTGAGCACCTTCTAGGAGGGCAGGGAGGGAGGTGAGGGTGAGGATGGGGGAACTGGGGTCCCAGCCCCTACACCTCTTCCCAGGAACTCAGACCCTAGAGTAGAAGCCATCTGTTTTTAGCAGTTGTTCTCAGTAGGGGCAGGCAGAGATGGCAGTAAGGGCAGAATAAGGGTAGGAGGAAGGAAGCAGAGATTCTTAATTCTGAATTTACTGGGAAAAAAAAACTCACAGCTATCAGTTGAGCCAATTCTGACTCATGATGACCCTATGTGTTACAGAGTAGAACTGTTTTTCTTTGCTGTAGTCTCTATGGAAATGGATTGCCAGGTGTTTCTTCCTTGGCACTGCTGGGTGGGTTCTAACTACCAACCTTCAGATTAGTAGGTAAGCACAAACTGCACCACCCAGAGACCTAGTCCCTATCATAATCCAGGATAAATTGGACTAATAATGTCAGGGCCTCAAGCAGCTGGAATGGGTTATGTTGTTGTTAGTTGTTGTTATGTGCTGTCGAGTCGGCCCCGACTCATAGCGACCCCTCCTTGGGTTTCCGAGGCAGTATCACTACGGAAGTAGGATTGCCCAACCTTCCTTCCGAGGAGTGGCTGGTGGGTTTGAACCGCCAGCCGTCTGGTTAGCAGGCAAGTGTCTTAGCCACTATGCTACCAGAGCTCCTGGAATGGGTTATAGCATTTACAATTAGTTAACAATTGGGGGTGGGATCCAGGAGAGACCAAGGGAGGGAGGTCCTGGCTGAGTTACTGCCTGCCTAAGCAAAGGAAAACCCAAATCCACTGCAGTTGAGTCAATTCCAACTCACTGTGACCCTGCAGGACAGAGGAGAACTGCCCCCTAGGTAAATTTTTACTGACGCAGACTGCCACATCCTTCTCCCGTGGAGCAGCTGGTGGGTTCAAACTATCAGTCTTTTGGTTAACAGTCAAGTGCTTAACCATTACACCACCAGGGCCCCTTAAGCAAAAGAAAGGAGGAGAAATTATGAATATCAGCTGCTTCTCTTCCCCTATCTCACAGTAATGGGCTAACTATGACCTGGGCACTGTTTCAAACACTTTTACATACATCCCCTTATCAATCCTCACAACAACCCCATGAGATGATACTATTCTTCCCCCCACTTTAGAGATGAAGAAACTAAGGTACACAGAGGAGAAGAGATTTGCTTGAGGGTACACAATGAATAAATAGGAAAGCTGAGATTTGGACCCAGATAGGAGCGATTTAACCACCGCATTACCCTCATATTTGAAGAGGGACATGGAAGAGGAAGACCAAAGAAACAGAGAAAGAGAAAGCATCCAAGGGACCCTGGAAACGGCCCCGGGCTCCTCATCCCTCGGAAAGGAGTCTGGAGTGGGGATGAGCGGCCAGGAGCCGCTTACCTGACCCCGTCCCAGTGGACTGTGCCTTTTTTCATATTAGCACTCTATACAGTTCAGCCACTGCCTGGGTTGGAGCCCTGGAAACCCAACGGACCAGAGTTCAAATCCCAACTCCCAAGCAGACAAACACACAGCCATGGACAGATCCCTGGGTTCTCCGAGCCTCCTTAAAAGTATAGCTTTATCCTGCCTCACAGAGTTGTTCTGAGGCTTCAGGGAAGGCATCCTTAGCACAGGGCCTTCTCTCCCACACCATTCACTCCCAAAGCCACGCCTTCCAATCCCTCAGCTGCCTAACACATTTGGGGGCTGGCACCCACACCAAAGAGAAGTGCCCCAGGGAAAACATCATCTCACCCAGTTCAGCATTGTAGAACCTGAGGCACAGGCCAAGGAGGTGGTCACCCAGTGTCTCCCACATGGGGGAGGAGAAGGCAGTGAAAAAACACTGAAGGTCCCACCTTGGCAGTTTTTTAAGAAGCCTTTGTTCAGAAGGTCCCTCGGGAAGGGCAAAGAGGTAGGGTAGCCAGAATGCAGGTCAAGGTAGACACACACAGACACACACACACAAACAGGCCTACCCCAGACCTACCTGTGCCCCTACAACACATCATAACATACTCCATACCCATGTACACAAGCATATACATACATAAACATGTCTATATACAGAGGAGTGGCTAGTGGGTCTGAACTGCCAACCTTCTGGTTAGCAGTCAAATACCTTAGGCATTGTGCCACCAGAGTTTCTTATATGCATATCTAAACATGTTTATATACACACACAGGAGCTCTGGTAGCATAATGCCTAAGGCAGTTGACTGCTAACCAGAAGGCTGGCGGTTCAAACCCACCAGCCACTCCTCGGAAGGAAGGTTGGGCAATCTACTTCTGTAGTGATACCGCCTCGGAAACCCAAGGAGGGATTGCTATGAGTTGGGGCCAACTCGATGGCACATAACAACAATAACAACATACACACATAGGGACTCTGGTGGTATAGTGGTTAAGAGATTTGGCTGCTAACCAAAAGGTCAGTGGTAAGAACCCACCAGCAGCTTCGCTGAAGAAAGAGGAGGCAGTCTGCTTCTGTAAAGATTTGTTGTTGTTGTTGTTGTTGTTGTTGTTATGTGCCGTCGAGTCGGCCCCGACTCATAGCGACCCCTCCTTGGGTTTCCGAGGCAGTATCACTACGGAAGTAGGAATGCCCAACCTTCTTTGCGAGGAGTGGCTGCTGGGTTTGAACCGCCAGCCTTCTGGTTAGCAATCAAGTGCTTTAGCCACTATGCTACCAGAGCTCCTCTGTAAAGATATACAGCCTTGGAAACTCATTGGGAGTCGCTATAAGTCAGAACCAACTCGATGGCAGTGAGTTTGGTTTGGTTTATATACACACACAGAAAACATGCCTATATACATTCAACACACACATGCACACACCCCAGGCCTTTACAGTTACTGCTCCCAACAACCCGCCCTGTTGGGGAGCAGATGGAAAGGGAAGGGCTTGAGATTGCTTAGTAGTGAGACAGGCTTCTCCCCAGCTTCACATCCCAACAAACTCTGATGGTTCCACCTGTGAGCTCAGCATCCAGGTAACAGCAATACATGCAGTAGGCAGGTGGGGTTTGTGGTCTGTTTTTCAAACATCAGGCGAGATGCTCCCCACTCTCTATCCCCCTTCCCTCCATGCCCCCCATTCCCACACACACACATACACTAAGCGCAAGGTCTGGGTCTCCTCCATTAGCCGCAACTGGCTGTGACAGTCCCAGGTTCAAATCCTAGTTCAGCCAACTTAACTTTCTGTGCCTCAATGTCCTCCTCTGAAAAGTGGAACCAGTGACAGGACTCTCGGGGTCTAGGCCACTGCTATGACTTCTGACCCTTGAGGTCAGCTGGTATTTGTCTGCATTCTGTAAGGGATCTTAAAAGCTTACTTGATTGTTTACTCAAACTCACTAAAAACTCACTGCCATCAAGTTGATTCTGACCCATAGCAACCACCTTTGGGTTTCCAAGGCGGTAAATTTTTACAGAAGTAGATTGCCCAGTCTTCCTTCCACAGAGTGGCTGGTAGGTTTGAACCTCCAGCCTTCTGGTTAGTAGTCAAATGCCTTAGGCACTATGTCACCAGAGTGTAGAGTACTAGCACTAGCATTTTTCCTGGTAAATTGTTCGGAAAAATCTCCAGGAGAAAAAAAAGCGGGGCCAGTGATAATACCTACCTCATAGGGCAGCTGCAAGAATTAACCTGCAAGTTAACATGGAGAAGGTATATCATAGCCAAGTCCTCAGTAAATGTTACCATTATCTTGAGCTTGGAGTCACCCTGGCCTCTTATCCTCCCTGCGCTCTACCCACATCTCCTGCCTCCCACAATCTCCTCCGAGCCCTCCCTTCCTTCCCTCTCTGTCACCAGATCCTGAGAATATCCAAATCTGGGATTGCATCTGCCCTATGAAACTGCATTTAGGGGATGAAAGTTAAGCAAATGCAATGATGGATGGGAAAGGGTTTATAAAACTGTTGAGTACTGCCAACACTGTCAGTGCATGCCAGGGTGGGAGCTTACAGGAAGATCCCACAGAGACCCTAACCGGTGGGTCACTGTGGGGACAGGGCTTATAGAGACCAATCCCCTCTAAAACTAACTTCAGGAAAACAGGCTCTGCCCGCTACCAGGCTAGGTACACTGCCATGTGGCACGGCACAGAGGGTGTGGCATTTGGGGCCACAGCCCTAGGCTTGAGGATCAGGGAGGGTGGGGCAAAGGCTGCAGGTCTTGGAATGAGTACAGGGACTTCCTTGAATGGTGCAACTGAAAATGTCAATCTGGGAGGGGGGCAAGGCAGGGTCAGGCCTGCAGATAACTGCTCACATGGAACAGCTCAGTGGGGGTTCCTGGGCCCGCACTGGGGGTCAGAGGGCAGGTTCCACCCCATGGAGGTCCACTGACCCACTATGTGCCTGAAGGCCAAAGAGTAGAATGGCTATAGATAGAACCACCTGCCATTTGGTTTATCTCCCTAAGCCTCATGTTTGTCCCTATAAAATGGAAAGCTTGGCCCAGGATTGTCCATTTTAGCAGATTCCCTTGGGAAGAGTCTGGCTGCAACATGTTAAAGCCACTGTGATTCCACAACCCCAGTCTCACCAAAGGCCTCCTTCCTTCCTTCCTTCTGGGTTGGGCAGAGCCTCAACCAACCGTCCAGGTAGTGGACACAGAGCCACACAGAGCCAAGCTCATGTTACTCCACCTGCCCGCTTCTGCCAGGCAGCTCCACCTTCCAGCTCTGGCTACCCCTGTGCTTCCTTCCAAACCGAAGCCCTCCCCACAGACCCTCCTGCCTGCAGCCCAAAAGCAGTCTCCAAAACACATCCCTGCTAGTGAGCCGCAGGGCCTGGGGACATCTGCTCAGCAGCAGTCCCGCTGAACCCTCACAGCATCCCCAAACCGTCAGACCCTACAGGTGGTGGGGGGTGAAGAGAAGGCACTTAGTCTGAAGTTGTACTTTAAAATAAGGATGAGTCCAGTCCAACTCGAGGGCGCATAACAACAAACAACATCTCTGGCTAAGGCACTCACTTCCCTCCTCCACCCTTCTCCTAACATCCAGGCCCTGCAGAGAAAGGTCCAGCTTGCAAGGCTGGCTGAGCCGAGGTGGGGGTCATCAAGGCAACCCTCCAGCCTCAGCATTTTCTTTGGCCTCAACTAAAAGCAAACCACGCCCAAGAAGCGCCAAGCAGCCCCAAGCATCTGGGGTAGTTCCAGGGGGCTGGAGTTTAGACAGTAACAAAGCAGAGGGGATCCTTGTTGACAAATTGCTTCCCCACCCCCACGCCCCGCCCGTGCCGTCTTTGGCTTCCAGCCCTGACCTCTGTTTTCTAGGGGTTCCGGTAGTTACAGGATCGTGGCCTCCAGCTGGAGGAGGGCCTCAGCAAGCCTGCAAATGTGCCCTTCTCTCCATATGCCCGCCAATCCCCTGGCCCCACCAAGGCAAGCAGCTGCCCCCTTCGCCGTGACTTGTAAAAGACCAGAATCGCCCCGCCCAGGGAGGGGGACGGGCAGGTGGCCGGCAGCGGGGCCCTGTTGTCCAGACGGCCTCTCAGGGGTGGAATTCTTAAGGAAACTGAGCCCCCGGAAGGGCTGGCTTCCCCTGGCCCAGAATGAGCTCCAGGGATGACCCAGACCCGGCCCGGGGGCAGGTGGGAGGTAGGGGGAGCGGTCTTGGTTCTCCTACCCGGCCTAGGACACTATTTATAGACGCAAAGGGGAGTCCCCAACACTGGGAGATTGTCTGAATTGGAGGGTGGAAGGCCAGGGAGACGCACAGCCACAAAGTGAGGCTCCCACAGAGGGGCAAAGCGGAAGGAAAGAGAAAACAAAAAAGGTTGAGACAAACTCAGGGAAACAGAAAACGGAGGCAGAAGGGGAAAACAGAAAGAAAGGGACAGACCCAGGGAAAGAAAGAGACGGAAATATAGAGATGGAGCGTCACAGAGAGACAGAGACAGACTGGGAGACAGAAAGGGACTACAGAAAAGAAACAAAAAGGAGGAAGAACGTACACAGCAGAGAGGCTGGGGGGCGGCGCGGGCGCCCAAGCAGAGCCCGGAGGACGCGCGAGCCGGGAGACCGAGCCTCTCCGGGAGGCGCTGCCCAGCGCCCTCGCGAAATGACCCACCCTCTACCCGCTGTGCTTTCGACCGGGTAACGCATCTGCCTCCCTCGTATTCTCTGGGCCACGGAAACTCCTACCAGAAATGGAAACCTGAGGCGATCTGGGGACAAGCTCAGGGCGCAGTGGTGCTCCCCTGGCCACCTCGAGCCGCGCCTGCGTCCCCCAGCCCTGGCGTACGGAGGCGCCCAGGCACCCCCCGGACCCTCTGGGCTCCCGGGCTCCGCAGCAGCGCCTCCACATCGCGCCTTCAGCTGCCGGACAGACCAGGGGACGAAGCTCGTTGCCGGAGGCAAGGCGCTGCCCCCGCGACCGAAGCCTTTGGAAGCCGGGTGCCCGCATACCGGCCCGGGCAGACTTACCGCGCGCGCGCGGCGGGGA